CCCCCGTTTTTCGTTCTTGGCGCCGTTGTCACACCACAGTCGTTGAGTCCAATCGTCCATGCGTCAACGTTCGACTGTGGAGTACCTTCACAGGGTCTCTACAAGTCCGGAAATAGCACTGATTTTTTAAGAGTGGTCCGAAAATACTGAAAAAGTGCGGACATTCCGCAAGGAGGTCCGGAATTTGGTTCATTTTTCTTAGAGTCCCTTTATACTGAGAGTCAAGACAGCACCCCTTCATGGAGTCACAAACGGGAATAAAGATTACAGAAATTGGACGTTTTATGTAATCTTTGATAGGCCCATTCTCAAATTTCTTTCTCCGTCCCTTCTCTCATTCCGTTTGTTCCTTGCCGAACCCGTAATTCCCTGGTCCATTCCAGACTATAATCTTCGAAATCGGTGAAAATGTAATCTTTATTCCCGTTTGTGACACTGTGGAGGCCTAAAATAGGGAACCAATCAGAAATGGATTCACATTGTCTTGACTCTCAGTATAGGGACTCTAGTTGAGCCCACTCATCCATGCGTAAACGTTCGAATCTGGAGTACCTTCACAGAGTGACTAAAAGTCCGGAAATAGTACTGATTTTTTAAGAGCGGTCCGGAAGTACTGAAAAGTGCGGACATTCCGCAAGGAGGTCCGGAATTTTGTTAATTTTTTTTGTCGTTCATTTTTTCGAGCGGGAAATTCAAATTTTTGAAATTTATTAAAGTGCCGTAAGGACTGTGTCCAGTGGCTCTCTATAATTTTCTAACCAGTGACGTTCATCGCAACGCGTCAAGTTCCTGATGAATTAGGTTGAATTCACTTCGCTAATTGGTTCTACAATATAGTTTCAAGCCATTGATGATCGTTCAATGAAATCGATCCAACAGCTAAATTTAGGTTGATGATTGATGAGGCAGATACCGCACAGAATCCCCCAACAAGTTCCGAACTGCGAAATGAAATTGGCTCTGTTTAGCAGTGTTTTCTGCAGGTACGCCGAAGAATGCACTGTTTTTCCAAAGGAACGCGAGAGTGAATTACTTTTGTATTTTCGATTAGCGATTACAGAGAAACAACTATTGGGAAATAAATGTATCATTAAAATTGTCAGATGGTGTTTAACATAATTTACCCACTGACAAGCAAGATTCGCAGACATCACAAGGTACAAAGTCTTGAAAGAGACAACTATTGCCTCAAGAAATGTGTCCTCTCCCTTCTCGCATAATATTTCAAAAATCGAAGTAACAATGTGCTTGCAACCTCCATGCCTCTTTGGCGTTAATTCAGCTTCTTGTACATTTTCAGTCGGAAACTGATTTTGATTTGATGGCACACCGTGTATTTGCTCAAGTTTTTAGATTATGATTCTTTTCGTGTAAAAAAATATTCATTAACTATCGCATCAGATGTATGAAGACCCGTATAAAAATCCACGTTAAAAGACACTTTAAACTGTGCTTATCAATGCGACTCGATTCTTTGACAATGGCATCGATAAGCTTGTTTTTAAAATGATTTCATTAAAGAAAAAAAGACCATAAGAGCACTCGCACTCACTCTATATGATAAAAATTTTTCAGAGACCTGTAGCAACCTGATGATTTTCACCTCCACATACATTTCCAGCCATGATCATAGTTTTTACTGACGTTTGAAGCATAAATGCCGTAACTTAATTATAAATATGTTTCATTTATTATCAATGAAATGTCCTACAACAAAAAAACCAAAGGACGCCCATCCTTTATATTTTGAGAGTAATCGTAAGATACCCTCAGAAATTCAATTTAAAAAAAATAGCAGATAAATAATACGTTTTTGTGTTATGAAGTGGTATGTGGGAAGGAAGTATGCAAAATCTAGACATGACAGTGTTTTTGCTCTTGGCGGTGGCATATTGCTCGGATAACAAATGCAGGGTTCCCGAATCATTTTCTCTTAATTGGTCACGGTTATCTCGGAAATATGTGAGCCTAATGAGCTAGCCTTCAGCTTTTTCAATTACAGAATTATCATGGAAATAGCCCGTCGATGACACATCGATGAGCCTCGTTTAGTCTGAATTTCGTTCGTATGCTAATCGTGAATCTTAACCGGTCATTGTAATGTGCGATCAAAATACCACTAGATATCCATCAAAATTCGCCTAATCAGCTCACATGCGGGTCTTGAAAACCGGCATTGCCGTCTCTGGGCTAAGATCAAAGTGGCGAAAAGAATGGAATTCCAATAGATCTCATGAGTGCGGACGAGTTATTACTCATCGTTGACATTTTAAAAGCATTGCCGGGCATTAATACGTTTCATTTTAATGGAATTTCGTCAGTATTGTAAACTTAGCACAAGGTCCCAATGCCATTGTGTTCTTTTACTCACAATCAGTCGCAGCATGATCTTTATTTAAATAATGAAAATTCTTTTTATAAATAGCTCCCTCATCCTCATTTGACCTCAGTGAGAGACTAATTTGAATGTAATTTCGGCAATTCGTTTTTTTCCGCACCGAGAATCGCAACTCCATTCGAACGTTGCAAAATTGGCTCAAATAATTCAAATTTTTACAAAAATGTACTTGTGCAATTTTTGTCAACATTTTACTCACTTTCGCATGAGGGCGAAGGAAAAATCGGGGACATCTTCAGTAAGAAACACCTAAGATTCTCCTGGTACCAATGCATTTTGCGAGGAGAAATTCGGCAACATTGACGTAGTTACGCTCTTTTGTGAGGAACACGACGGATTGAGGTAAAAATGTAGGAGCTTTAATTCCTAAAATGTATTCCCAACTTGCAACTGGATTTTGGACCTAACTAATGAAACTGAAGCAATGCCTTTCTCGCTTTTTGCACGGTATCACGTGCCTAAATCGCTAATCTCGCGTGCTAGAAGTCCACTCGCAAATCGCGATACCAGTTATACAATCACAGAGCTATATTCGTCTGCTCTCGCTTTGACGAGCTACTTAGCAGATTTTGGTGGGTTCTTCTTTGCGTAGTGTTCAGAAATAACCTGCAGGAATGGAAATTTTAGTAAAATGACGGGAATTCCCTGCAAATGCTCCCCAGCATTTCAGCGGATCGCGGGTATAGACTTTCACGCGCGGTTCTCGCTGGTTCAGGAGAGTTTCAAAACGTTTCACAACCTTTATTATTGGAACTAGTAGTCTCTCTTAAAGGAGGTTCAAATAAGTTAACATTTTAAAAAGAAGCTTTTGAATTTTGCTTCTCATAAAAACACGAGAGAAAGCACGGGGAATAAGAAAAAAAATCGAAATTTTAGAAAGTACTGTGGCTATCAGCTTAGCGTCCGGTTAATCGTTTCGCATAACTGAAAGTTGGCAACAATGTTTTTCCTTCTTTTAAATGCATGTAAAATAATCGATTCTTGATGAGGCAACCCTCGCCTAAAACCGATATTTTCGATTGATCTAAATGGAGGTAAAACAATGTTGCCAACTTGCGAAATCGCCACTGAATCCATCAGAGAAGAACGTGGATTAAATTGGACCACGCTATAAACAGAAATGAACCAAGCCACATCAGCTATTGCCAAATTTAATCGGGCAATTTAATTTTTTACGCAAAAATGGTCGTGCGGATTTCAGAGCAATTTCAGTGAATTTTCTGCATTGCACGAAGCAAATTCCGTTAAATTTTCATAGGGATCCGCACAGACGTTTTCTTGTTAAAAATTAAATTGCCTTGTTAAATTTTGCAATAACTGATGAGCAGGGCCGGGTTTACCTTCTTGCCGCCCATGGGCCGCCTGTATTTTGCCGCCCCATCTCATCCGTTTTGAAACATCCACAGAAACCATCAGGTGAACGTGCCGGAGGAGGAGGTGTACATGAGACGCGTTTACTCGCGTTTGGCACATTTTTTGTGAAAGCCCTGTCAACACTAGCAAAAGTTCACGGAATTTTGCTCGAAAATTAAGTTCCGTAGACCCATCTCTATGTGGACGATGCTTTTCATTTATAAGAAAAGAACGAATAAATTATAATTAAGAATAAACATGAATGTGGTCTAATGATCTTAATTTTCGCCACCGCGCCAACCGCACTCTGTTTAATGCAATGCGTAAAGTATCCCTACAGTCTTGTAGGCGCTATGCGTTTCACGCCAACCGCTGCTGACCGCACCCACTACCTTTGACGCAATGTGTGGAGTATTTATGGACTCTTGTAGGCGCTAATATGTGTTTCATGCTGACCGGTGCGCCGATAGGGCTTCTCCTTTCCAGCTCAAGTTCTCGCCATCATTGCTCTTTGCGCGGTTCTGCTCCAGGCCAAATCGCGTGTTTGGTTTCTCTCTCAACTAGACTAATGAAAGGCGCTGTCTCTTGTATCACCGAAAGACCAACAAGTTAGAAATTACAATACTTTAACTCTCAGGATATGAGAGATTTTTTGCCTTTCCTCATTTGTGATTTTTTTCTGAAATAGATTTTTTTCTTGATACCTACATTTGAAAAACTTACAACATTTGCCGCCCCCTAAATTTGCTGCCATGGGCCGCGGCCCATGTGGCCACCCCCTTAATCCGGCCTTGCTGATGAGGCTTGGTTTCTTTCTGCTGAACGCGGTTCGTTTTATACCAGATGTAGGGGATGGCGTCATCGACGATATTTTTTAACACACTGAAAAAAAACTCCGGTCGTGGAAGCCGTACCTACGGGCTGTATAGACATACCGTCCGTGTTCCAGGTTCCGAGGCCGAAAGTTTCGGGTGTAACACCCGTAGCAGTCGAACCTACGGCTTTGGCACCCAGAACTTTCAACCTCTGAACCCGGAACGGACGGAATGTCCATGTAGCCCGGAACTTTTTTTCAGTGGGGTATTTTTCTACTCTCTGAGGCATTTGGTAATTGAGATAATTTTCTGCCTTTTGTTTTATGGAATCTAATTTTCTATTGTCCTTGTTCTTGTGTCCCGCGAGCAAGTGATTCGTTTTTATCGTTTTTATTCGGTTTTATCTAAAGTTTGTTTGGTTTTGGCTGTTGCAGACGTAAAGTGATGAGGCGGAACGGTGGCCATGGAGCCCATGAGCCGCGCATGATGGGGCGCAGCTTATTCGTGTCCAGGTAATTCTTATTTTAATCAATTCAATTAATTTTCCACCCGATTTCCTGAAACTTCCGAAAAGATTGCCAAAGCGTTGATCCAATGTGCTTGTGCATTTACATTCAATTTCTTACTTGGAATCAGCCAATATTTCACGGAAGAAAAGGGAGGGTAATTGTGGTGGAACCCAAATACATCAGAATACTAACCCAAATGTTGCGGCAAAGTTGCGGTACTATATTACCGCACTAAGGAAAAACGCCTTATTTTATAGACCTTCAGGCGTTGTCACGTTGCCGTTGGTAAAACACTAATTTCCTGGCAAATTTATGAATATTTGTCTACCAATTCTTCGGATAATTATTGCGCAATTTAACGTAAAGCTCCTGAAAGTTGTAAAGAAAAATATTTATAATTTTCTTAAAAATTAAACCTTGTATCAAAGAAAATTTGGCAGCTCACGGATGTTCTTACGACATTCTTCCTTAGCACGGTAGTATACTACAATTAACTGGAAATGCCCATATCATCCAACAAATTGGGCGTAGTACCACAATTTTAGGGATAATCCTCAACACTTCTTTTTCCGTGTTGTCAGTTGCGCTAGTTACCGAATCGTGTTTTAATGTTTCAAGGTTATACGTAGACTGTAGCAAAAATTAATAAGATCTGTCCAAACGCCAAATTTCTATGACCGATATTAACGGAGATGTTGCTTAGCGAAAAACATGGCGCATAGTGTATGCCATGCCATAGTCTCTTCCTTTTAAATGTGTCCATGTATCCCTGATTGATATAAAATTAAGGCCTAGGCAGAAGGAACCAGGAATCATGGTATGCTCTACCGTCGTCGTACGCCGCGCTGTGTGTTATTCGCAAGGCGTGAATGATCGATTATCGATATTTTCCCCTTTTGAAGCCATGGCAAAGAATCGATTATTAAAGTGTTCGTTGCAAACACCTCATTTATCGATCCTTTTCCATAGAGTTAAATGGCAGATACATCGATATATTGCAAAGCACGCCACGCCACTGATAGCTTCCCTATAACCATCAAAACACAACGCTATGACCAGCGCAACTGACCCCTTCATTTAACAGAATTATTTCGTTAACCAATGACTGCAGGTTCAAAGTTTGCTAATGCCCGCAGATTTATGATCATTTCAATATAATGTGTAGAAATCTCACTAATCTGAGCACTGGAATTGACGGAAGCCCTATCGATTCCAGTATTTTCTCTCACTGCGAAACCGGAGATAGCCAATCTCGCGAAGTTTTCAATAAATAGTTGGAAATGTAAATTTATTTCATACGAATGTCAACACATTTTTTTTCCCTCCCTCACCGTACCAAGTAGCTACATATCCATTATTCCTCAGTTTTGCCGTTTAAAAAGTTTTTGCAAGGATTATATAGATAAATTTCGGAATTACGCTGCCCCCGCCCTACAAAGCTGTGAATTGACGTCATCGGAGCTCTAACTTCTCTAACCGGACCACGGAATTCCTGCGGTACTGAAGACATGGTACGCAGATTGGTTGAAATACACCGTACCACCATGTTTCCGGAGAGAGCATTTACGCCCTTTTTGTAATCGAGTTTTCTACAAAATCCAACTAATCTAATTTAAATGATCTGACTAATATGGCTGAATCCGCAAACCTCGTCTTATTTACTCGTAAAAAAAAAAAAAAAAAAAAAAAAAAAAACCGAGCTATGAGAAATCAATAAGGGCTTAAAAATTGACGTCATTTCGTTGCTTCTCTGGCGTAGAGCAGAGCCGGATTTACCTTCTTGCCGCCCATGGGCCGCCTGTATTTTGCCGCCCCATCTCATTCGTTTTGAAACATCCATAGAAACCATCAGGTGAACGTGCCGGAGGAGGAGGGGTACATAAAACGTGTTTACTTGCGTTTGGCACATTTTTTGTGAAAGCTCTTTCAACACTAGCAAAAGTTCACGGAACTTTGCTCGAAAATTAAGTTCCGTAGACCTATATCTGTGTAGACGATGCCTTTCATTTATAAGAAAAGAACGAAAAAATTATGAATAAGAATAAATATGAATGTGGTCTAATGATCTTAATTTCCGCCACCGCGCAAACCGCACTGTTTGGCGCAATGCGTGAAGTATCCCTACAGTATTGTAGTCGCTATGCGTTTCACGCTGACCGCTGGCTGCTGACCAAGTGACCGCACTGTTTTTGACGCAATGCATGAAGTATTCATGCAGTCTTGTAGGCACTATGAGTTTCATGCCAACCGCTGCTGACCGCACTACGTTTGACGCAATGCGAGAAGTATTCATGGAGTCTTGTAGGCGCTAATATGTGTTTCGTGCTGACCGGTGCGCCAATAGGGCTTCTCCTTTCCATCTAAAGTTCTCGGCATCATTGTTTTCTGCGCCGTGCCGCTTCAGGCCAAATTGGGTGTTTGGTTTCTCTCTCAACTAGACTAATGAAAGGCGCTGTCTCTTGTATCACCGAAAGACGAACAAATTAGAAATTACTATACTTTATCTCTCAGGATATGATAGATTTTTTCGCCTTTCCTCATTTGTGATTTTTTTTCTGAATCAGATTTTTTTCTTGATACCTACATTTGAAAAAATTACAACATTTGCCGCCCCCTTTTGCCGCCATGGGCCGCGGCCCATGTGGCCACCCCCTTAACCCGACCCTGGCGTACGTTAAGGGTGTATCTCAATTTCCGCATGAGCTTCAGGAAGCCTGAGTTTATACGTAAAACAGGGCTTATGTGGAAATCCAGATACGGCCTTTAGTTAGAGAGGCAGCGATTTTAGGCAAAACAGTAGTAAGTTCACATAATTTACCGAGAAAGGTATACTCACTGCTGTCCTCAAGTGAAATGGTATTCTTCTCTGCCATTATTTAAGTTCAAGATCTATTTTTTGTGTATCCAAAGCATGTATGCAATGCATGTATGTAAGCAAGCAGAGATACGCAACACATACTGCTGTCATGCCCTCACATGAACTGAACGAGATCATTTTTGTGTAGTCAAACAAGGTGTCTTCAAGTCCGGAAATAGCACTGATTTTTTAAAGGCCGGTCCGGAAGTACTGAAACAGTACGGAAATTCCACTGAAAGGTCCGGAATTTTTTTCATTTTTTTGTCATTTTTGTCGCCATCAAATTTTTGAAATTTTCCGAATTTCGGCAAATGGAGTTACTGAAAAAGTACGTACTGTAAAAGTACTAATTTTTGGCCAGCCTGTGTAAGCAGATATACCCTGTCAAAGCTAAAATTGGTCGATTTTTAATCCTCCCGATGAAGGGCCACTTTACTGCCTGCCGTGCTGAAGAAAAACGCCGTGTGAGCTTTTAGACGTTGCCAAATTTACTTGCATAAAATAAGACTTTCAAGGAAAACTTTTGAATATTTTCTCTTCGACTTTCAGAGCACTTTCTCTCTTTGCAATTAGATATAAATTGTCTGAAAATTTCAGGGAAAATTAACAATTTCCCTCCAAAATATTAATGTTGTCGAGTGAATTTTGGCAACATTCGAATGTTCACCCGCGCGGGCGTGGCGTCTCTCTGTAGCACCGCACAACTTTACTGCCGTGCTAAGGAAGAACATCGTATGAACATTCGGAAGTTACCAAATTTCTCTGGATGAAACATGCATTTTTGAGGAAAGTTGTGCACGTCTTTTCTTGAAATTTTCAGGTATCTTAGATTAAATTGCGAACAAAATAGTTTGAAAAATTTAGGGAAAAATATTCGCAAGTTTCCCACCAAATTTGGTTTTTATCGAGGGATATATGGCAACGTCTGAGGGTTCTTACGGCGTTCTTCCTTAGCATGCACTGGAAAAAAAGCACATTGGATCTAGAGTCCAGACTCTCAAAAACATCGACAAGAAAAGTACTCTTGATTCAATCAGAATCTAGCTTAAATCAAGAACCAAGCCTCTTAATTTAAGCGGATTTCGTTTTGATTCAAGCTAAAATCCGATTGAATCAAGAGTACTTTTCTTGTCAATGTTTTTGAGAGTCTGGACTCTAGATCCAATGTGTTTTTTTTCCAGTGTGGCAGTATAAGCCCATTTGCTCAAAACTTCATTGTCGCAGTTACTGTGCCGCACTGAAAAAAAATCTCGGTGTATATATTATGAAAAGGGTAAAATTACCAAGAATTCAGGGTTCTATTTGATCCCAGTTTTTTCTTGGTAAAATTACCATCTATGGAATTGGTAATTTTACCGAGAAATCTCGGTAAAATTATTGACTTTTTCGGTAATTTTACTGGACCCCGGTAAAAACGCCAATATTTTTTATCGACTGTGGTAGAATTACCGAGATAAAATGGCAAAGTTACCGGGAATTGATTACCAATAAAAGTGGTATTCTTACCTGAAAAAAATAGTAAAAATACCGGTTTTTAGGTAAACTTACCAATCTGTCTTGGTAAAATTACCAATAATTGGTAAAAAAAGTGAGATGGTAAAGGCGCCAACGGACCTTGGTAAAAACGCCGAGAATTTTTTTTCAGTGCGCTCTCCTGGGTGACACGACAGGAGCGTAGCCCTCTAGTTTCGAACTCGTTTCCAAATCGAGATGTAGAGCCTGCGGCTGGGACGAGGCGAGAGGGTCCATGGGAATTGACGCTAATAAGTCGGGACTCGAAAATTCGACGTTTCATCCGACGCCACGTCCCCCGCGACCCGCCCCTCCGCCCATCGCAATCTTGTCATATCCAATTCTGCACGTCTGCGAGCGTTTTTAATTGGACCAGCAAGAAGAAAACAAACGAATTATCGCTCCGCAGTGGACTTTGCTGCCAGCGGACTCGTCTCATCAATTTCGTAGGGATTCCCTCCCCTCTCGAACGGAATTGGTCGTCCGTCCTAAGAATAAAGCTCCGTAAGGAAACGTCGGTTCAGGGCTCTGGAAAATACTGGATCGCAAGAACCTGATTTTTGGGAGAGGAGTCGATTTTGTTTTTGTTTTTTGATGGTTATTGACGATTTTACATGCAAGAATGGAGAATTCG